CCCTTTGCAGCTCCCACCTTCGACTACGGGGACATGCCATCGCCGCTGAGCGAGTCGGAGAGCACCATCACGGTGCTGCTGCGGCCAGCGCAGGGCAGAGGGGCTCCCATCAGGTAGGTTGGGGCTGTGCGAGGGTGAGACCCTCACAAACGGGGTGGCACGGCATGGATGGCGGGCTCAAGCACCGAGGGAAGGGCAGGACCATCCTTTTTACAAAACTAACCTATGCCTGGCCCTTACCAGCACCTACCAGGTCATTGTCGAAGAAGACCGTCCCAAGAAGCTGAAGCGGGAGCTGAGTGGGCAGGAGTGCTTCCCGGTGCCCCTCACCTTTGATGACGCTGTGTCCCGTGGCTCTGTACACTACTTCGGGGCCGAGCTGCCTGCCAGCAGCCTCACTGAAGCCAAACCCTTCACCGTGGGGGACAACCAGACCTACAGTGGCTACTGGAACCCACCGCTGGAGCCCAAGAAGGCTTATCTCATCTATTTCCAAGCCATGAGCAACCTCAAAGGGGTGAGTAGCTGTGGGACTCTGCCTCATCCCCTGTCTGGGGTCTTGCTTGGACCAGGCAGGAGCCAAACTGGGGTCTGGGGAGGAGGGGGTCAGAAAAAATGGGGCTTGTTTTAGATTCCCCTGCCTTGGGCTGCCCCTCTGGGCTCATCCCCAGTGTCTTCCCTGGGGGGAGCTGGTGCTCTGGGTCACCCTTACGCCACACTGGGATCATGGATGGGTATCCCCTTCCTCCTGGCACTCCTGGGCTGTGCCTGTCCCCTTTCCAGTGCTGACGTCGAGTACCACTGTGGTACCTGCTGGGACCCCAACCAGCACTGGTGTGGGGAGACCACCTTCCCGGGGCTAATCCTGGCGTGGAAAAGGACCATTTGGGCAGCAAGAGCTGTGTGTGTATTACTGGGACCCACCGCTGATACAGTGGCTGCTGCAGAGAGCTCCTGGGAAGCTGCTGAGTTCTCGGGCTGCTCTCCCTGCCTGCTCCTGCCTGTTCTCTCAGCAAAGCTGTAACAGCCCCACTCCAGCAGCAACCATCACATCCCCCTGATTTCCTTCAAGTCACTGGTGGCACCACCAGGACCCCCTGGCAGTGCTTCTCAGCTTCACCTGCTCCAACAACTCCCATCCCACCCCGGGGAGCATGAGCTGTGAAAGTGAAGCAGTAGGACTGCAGCAGCATCCTCATTCTGCATGGCTCCATCTTGCTGGAAAGGTGCTGGTTTTGAATCCTTTCCTCTGCTCTGGGGTTGTTCACAGCTCGCTGGGCTGTAATTAGAGCCAAGGCGGACAGGGAGGATCTCGGCTCTGGCTTGCTTGGGCACTGCTGGATAATAACTGGTGGCTGACACTGTTTTATAGCCTTCCTGCTGGGAGGCAATGGATTTGTCCCGGCTGCAGTCAGATGTCACAAAAAAGCTGGATCCCAGCTTGGGTGTTTTGTGATTTTCATGCCAGATGGAGTAAGAAGCAGGAGAAGGAAGAGCTGGCGACCTCGGGGAGAGTGGTGCCAGAGCTGGCCCTGCCCCGGGCAGGTCTCGGTCCGAGGGCAGATGGAGCGACATTGCCAGCACTCATGTCCTGAGGGGCTGGAGGATGCTTGGGGAAGAAGGCAATCCTGCCACGACGATGCTTTCTATATTGCAGCAGAAGTTGGATGCGTGGAAAGACGGAATATTTTAGCTGAACCCATGCAAATGCTAAAGCTGTTGGAGACCTGAACTGGAAGACCTCGTGGCAACCTTGGCAGCATGCACAGAGTGCTGGGGCTTGAAAACTTTGATGAAAAAAACATCCACGAAGCTCTGAATGATGATCTAGGAGTGTTTTAGCTGTAGTTGGTGACGTGCTGATCACCTGTGGTTCGACTGGGTCTGCTGGGTCCCTCCATGGATGGTCTTGAGCTTTGCTGTCACCTCTGTGCCAGGAACGATGGTCTCAGCCAAACCTGGGGTCACTGAGGACACATCATTCACCAGCATGTCTTGGGGTGTGTGTCCCCGGGAACTCCTTCGGCTCAGTAGCAGGTTCTGCAGCACAAATCACCTGCAAACTCCCTCATTTTGGGGGTCGAAGCACCAACGGACCAGCCTTGCTCAGAGCGAGGAGCAGAGCTGCTGGGATGCTCATCAGATACTGACCCCCTCTTTTTTTCCCCTGTAGGAAACTCGGCTGAACTGTGTCCGGATTGCTCGCAAAGGTGAGTCCTTCCCTTTCCCAGCCGGTGTGATCCTGCCGAGGCTGTGGAGCTGAACCCCCGGTAGTTGGGGCTGAGCAGTGGGTGGCGTGGGTCAGGGTGCACATGATGGCTTATTACAGCCCCATCCCGTGCTCTTGTTTCCTACTTTCTTTGGTCTCTGGGTTTTTCCTTTAGTTGAGTTTTTCCTCTTAATGCTGTTACCGTGGTGGTGGTGGGAGGCCGGAGTCAGTGTTGGATGCTGAATCCAGGGATGGATTCCAGCTTATGTTGGGCGGGACAAAAGGTGGCACAAAGGAACCGTCTCACCCCATGGGAAGTGAGAGGGGGCTCACCCACAGTCATAGTGTGGCACTGCAGAGCCCTGAAATGTCTGGGTGGAATAAAATGTATTCAGAGAGCATCCTGCGGGACAAATCCCTCTGTCTTCCTTTCTGATGTTGCCAACTTGCCTGGAGCTGAGCGTTGACCCCTCCTGCCTGTCCTTGTCCCCTGGCAGCTGCCTGCAAAGAGAGCAAACGTCCCCTTGAGGTTTCGCAGCACTCGGAGGAAATGGGCCTGATCCTGGGGATCTGTGCTGGAGGGCTCATCGTCCTGATTATCCTCCTGGGAGCCATCATCGTCGTCATTCGGAAAGGGTAAGGAGACCTGGTGTCGCCCATCTGCCCCCTCCTCCTATTCCAGCCCTTCGCCACCACCCCAGCATTAACTGGGAGTTCCTGGTGGTGATACTGCTGCCCTGGGCAGACTCCAAACCTTTCCTTGAGCTGTGCCTCCATGTGCTCGTGCATCCCACTGGGCACAGTGCCCTCCTTGCTCTGTGACTCCAGGCACGTCAGGAGGCACTGGGGATACTGGGGACCTTCCTTCATCCTTTGGGCTCTGGAGCTTTGTTCCACTGTCCGTCACCCCTGTATTTTTCAGTCTTTTGCCTCTTTTTCTGCTGCTTTTTGGCTTTGTTGACCTGCATCGATGGAAATGCTTCTGGCCAGGATTGGGCTCATAGGGGCCCTGGACTGGTGCTGAGCCCAGCTGTCCCCAGCCTGCCTGCTCTCCCCCTGCTAACAACATCTGGGGGACCCTTGGGCATGCAGCTCTGCACCCCTCCAGACCATCATTACAAAAATCTGCACTAAGATACTGTCTCTGGGCTTCCCGGCTGCCTTGGCCAGCTCGGGGCTGGATCCGTCCATGTTGCTGTGTGTGGCCATGCTGGTGCCGTCCCGTGGGGGGCGGTTAGGGATGGGGCTCTGAACGGTTCTCTTGCATTGAGCTGGGGGCAGGGAGGAGGGAAAGACATTTTCATTCTTGCCCCTTCACCGAGCCCCCCTGAGATGGCAGGTGAGAGAGCAGAGAGCAGAGCCCCGGGGTGCTCAGTTCTGGGATTATGGATGGAAAAAACCCTCCAGCTGTGGCTCTCACCTAGAAAGCGGCGCAGTGTGTCCTGCTGAAATAGCTGGGCAGGCTCTGACTCTTCTCCAGGGCTCTGGTTCCTTGAGAGCACTGGGAGGAACAGTGTCCCCCCTGCTTCTGGGGCTGGGCAGGGGGCTGCCCCCAGCTCTGGGTGCCCTGCAGCGTGGGTGCTCAAACCATCCTGCATCCTCCTGGGCTTGTTTGAATGGGGAACCACCAGGCTTCCAGTGAAACACGAGCAATCCCTGGCTGAGAGCCCTCAGCTGGCTCCAGATGAGTTGTTAATATCTGGGTGCACCCTGGAGGGGAGGTTTTCCCAGGGCTCACAGTCCTTGGGGACCCCCAAACTGCTCTCCCACCCCCGTTGGAGTCCCCACACTCCCCAGACCCCTGGCTGGAGAGCTGAGTGTGGCTGGTGTGGCCATGGCTGTGGCTGTCGTGGTGGGCTTTCACTTGGGAAGCTCAGTGGGGTGGGAGGGAGGAGGGCGAGGGCTTTTCAGGACGCTCATCCCCGGGAGCGCTGGGGATGTGGCTGCTGATTTTTTGCTCGGATGCAGTGCCCTGGAAAGTAGCTTCTTACTGGTGGGCTTGAGCCAGGGGGGCTCTTAAAGCAGGGGAGAAAGAGTAATTAAATGCCTTCCCTGTGCAGGGCTTGGGATGATGGGAGGAAAGTACGTTAACAGCCAAGGGGGAGAGAAAAATAGCAGGGCACAACCTCAGCCCGTGTAAATCTGCAAAGCTCTTTATGGCTTTGTTCACCCTGAAAGGATTCTTGCTGATTTACGCCAGCTGGAAAAGCAAGGCTATAGCATCCCTGTGTGCTGTGAGGGGTGCAGGGCTGGCTGGTGGCTCCCTGCTTGCTGTTGCTCTGGGCTGATGCCCTTGTGTACAGCACGGATCTGTCCCTGATGGAGCAAATGCCAGCAGTGCTGATGTGGTTTTGGGAGTGATGCTGTGGGTGGAAGCCACGAGCGCAGCTGCTGCATTCCCACTGCCAGTGCTGCGGGGCAGGAGGAGGAGGAGGAGGAGCAGGTTTGCTTCAGCATCCCGGGTGAACCTGTTGAAGGACAAACCAGAGCTGCAAATCAGACCCGATGCTGAGGGCCCTGAATTCAGGGCTGTTGGGAAGCTGCGATGAGCTCATAAATCTCCTCCGGAGTGTTTTGCTGTTGGAAAAACACTGACGGTGGAATGGAAATGCACCCCCAGAATATTCTCACCGTTAGTAAATGGAGCACTGGAAATGATGTCGTGACCCCATCTCTCCCACTGGGGTTGCTTGGCCCCTCACCTGCTTCTGGGGGACTGCCCTACATTTTGGACATGTTTGCTGTTTGGTCTTAAAAATTGTGGAATAACCTCTCAGACAAGGGTACTATGGGCACCCCGCTGCCGGTGTGGGAGTCGTGGCCACCCCGTGAACCAGTGCTTGGGCTCTGCTGCTGGGATACCGGCTCCTGCCCGGAGTAAATAACCCATGGATGCAAAAGGGGAGCCGGGTTTCTTTACGGTGCATTTAATTTTCCAGCAGCTGAGTTGCCCCGTAAACCCCCTTCCTTATAACGGAGAAAAGCTGCTTATGCAATTTCTGCTGTTCTCTTTGTTTGCACGCTTGCCAGGAGGAACTACTATTCTTATTCCTATTACCCGTAAGTAATTGTCATTCTTTTTCTCCTTCGCCCTTCCTCCCTGGCCGCCCCCCTTGCCCTGCTACTCCAGCAAGTCCTTTTCTCTGCCGAGTACATTTTAAGGGCCTCTTTTGCTTGGGGAAAATAATGCCACTGAGCTCGTTAAGAGACTGAAGGCAGTGTAAAGGGGGAAGGGTCAGCGACTCCAGGTTAATTCTGGATTTTGGCAGTGTCTTGAAGTGTCCTGGCCCCACCAAGATGCCGACATGGGCTCAGATCCCTGCTCTGGCTTCTTGGGAGCCTGATGCTGCTGCTCAAAAACACTCAATCAGGATTTTTTTGCCTAAATGTCTGGAATTTGTGGTGTGAAGTTCTGTTCCAGTGATGGTTCCCGGGCTTTCCCAGCATCTTTGTTAGTTGCCTGATGGGGACCTTGCACAGAGGTAAAAAGCCTCCCCAGCGGTGCTGAGCATGTGCACAGTCAGGGGGGCCAGCCCATTCCTTGGGATGGAATTGGCCCCTGGTCATGGGTTTAGAGTTAAAGAATGGTTTGAGTAGGAAGGGACATTTAAATCTCATCTGGTCCAACTCCCTTGCCATGGGCAGGGACATCTTCAACTAGATCAGGTTGCTCAGAGCCCCATCCAACCTGACGCTGAATACTTCCAGGGATGGGGCATCTGCCACCTCTCTGAGCAGCCTGTGCCAGTGTCTCACCACCCTCATCATAAATTTCTTCCTTACATCTAGGCTGAATCTACCCTCTTTTAGTTTAAAACCATCACCCTTGTCCTATCACTACATGCCTATTAAAGAGTCTGTCTGCATCTTATAAGCCCCTTTAAGATTGAAAGGCAGCAATAATGTCTCCCCGGAGCCTTCTCTTCTCCTGGCTGAACAACCCCGACTCTCTCAGCCTTTCCTCACAGGAGAGGGGTTCCATCACTCTTGTAATTTTTGTGGCCATCCTCTGGACCTGCTCCAAGAGGTCCACGTCTGTCTTCTGCTTGCACTTGGACTGTGTAGCACAGGGATGCGCTTGGCATCTGGGATGGTCCGTGTTGCAGTGAGGTGGTGTGGGGCAGTGGGTGGGAAACGGGGCTGGGCGAGAGCTGGGGCTGCCCTGTGCAGCCGGCCAGGGAGAGCTTTGCTTGCACAAGGAGTGCTCCTGGCAGTTCCAGACGTTGTGAGGCATTTTGGGAAGGGGACAGGAGGGGACATGGAGGATGAGCAGCTGGAGTTGCTGCAGCCGGCAAGGGATGGTCCATGTGGTCTGTGACCGGCTTGGGGCACAGGAAGACTAAAGTGTGGTGACTGCTGGGGGAAATAATCCTTCCTGCTCCCCGAAATAATCCAAGTCCTGTATCTTTGGGGGGATTTGGCAGCACTGTCAGGTCAGTCCTACTTACGAGTGCTTCTTCCCCCTCCTCCCCATTGCATCCCCCTGCAGAAAACCCGTCAACATGACCAAAGCAACCATTAACTACCGCCACGAGAAGACACACATGATGAGTGCCATCGACAGGAGCTTCACCGACCAGAGCACGCTGCAGGAGGACGAGCGCCTGGGGCTCTCCTTCATGGACACCCACAACTATGGCAACCGGGGTAAGGACGGGGCATCCCTGCCCCCATCCAGCCACAGCAGGTGTCCCCAATAATCCCTAAATATCCCAGAAATGGCTGAAATATTTGTCCAAGCCTTAGTGGCAGGTATTGCATCTGTTTGAGCCTGATGTGTGTGGCATGTTGTGGGCTTTTCCCTGCCCTGCATAAACCTTCAAGGGCATCGATCTAATCGGTGTCTGTAGTGGCTTTTATTATCATGAGTGGCTCAAGCTGGGGCTCTGCATCTTGGCGTCTCGAAGCGGAGATCTGAGCTTGTGATTGGGAGGGTTGAGGCCATTTGTGGGCTCAAATGCTGGCTGGAGCCCTCTGAAGCTGAGTGAACTCCAACTCTTTGCTTACACTGAGGTTGAGAGCTTTGCACAAGCTTTCACCCAGCACACCCGGTGTGGCTCTGCTCTGTGGTGCTCTACACAGCCCTCGGCTTCAGAGGGTTGAAGAACCACTGTGTTCACATCTGAGGGAGACTGATAATTTAACACCCACTGGAGTATGCATTGCTGTGCTGATTTAGTTGTAAAATATCTCGTTGGATGCCCCAGTTTCAACCATATGCTAATAACATCTGTTACAGTAACTTCAAGATGCTGCTTACACACGGCTCTCCTCCACCGGCTGCGGGATTAATACACTTCCCAGCATTGTCTAATGGATAATAGAAGCCCAGAGGGCAAACTTTTCCTCCTCTTAATACATCTAGCTAGGTGTATTATTTTTTGGTTACTGTCCTTGAAATGCTCAAAGGCTGGGGGGTCTCTGAGTGGGCTGAGCTGGCGCTGCTGGTCTCCAGTTTCTTTAGGGAAGGGGGCTGTGAGGCTGGGTTCTGCTCCCACCTGCTTGTTTGCTCTGCTGCCGGCTGCTGCTCATCCCTCTGTTTGGTAGAAGGAAATGTGAGGAGCTGGGACTCTCTGTCACAGCTGGGGACAGCCTCTGCTGTGACCACCCCCTGCCTATAATCATCATTAATTAATGAACGTGAATGAATGGGCTGCTCCCTGACAGGCTGGGGGCTGTTCCCCTCCATGCCTCAGTTTCTTTGCATTTAAAAAAAGTCACCAATCTTCCTCATGGAAACTTGAGCAGGTCCTTGGCATGTGGCTGCATGGAGCTGTCAGCACCTTGCAAACGCCTGCAATTAATTTCTCATTAAAGCCAGCGGCTGGTTTGCTGTGACACGGGGCGCAGCGTGACCCTCCTGCACTGTCCCCTTGGCTCAGCCGCTCTTGTAAGGGAGATGTTTCTGGATACAAAGGTTGGAGCAGCGTCTCCTCGGGGGGAGATGGAGATGATGGAGATGGAGACTTGCTCTGTGCACCCATATTGCACCCCCACCGTGCCCATGTTGTGCGGGCAGCCAGGAGGTGCAGGCGGGGGGTGAGGGGCTGCTCCTTGCATTTGAGCAGACCAGAAAAAAAAAAAAAAAAAAAATCCCTGGGAGCTTTGCAAGTGAAATGGTATAGGTGTTTTTTAAAAGTGTTGTTAGGGGAAACCACATCCAGGATGCATCGTCTTGTAAAACTGCTTCCAGGCGGCATGTGGAGGGTGTTCCAGGGTGGGTGCTGCAGGATCTGCCCCTGCCACTTCTGGCAGCAGCAGAGATCATCGGGTTGGCGCAAACCCAATTTTCAGGATCTGGTGTGGGACCTTGCCCTGACAAACGCAGGTGAGGTCTTGGTCTGGCTCTGATGGTAATTACACAGCAAAGGCATAAACCAGGTAAATGCTGCATAAACTCCCCCATTAAACAGCAGCGAGCTCCATTTGTGTCGGTGCTGGGAATAGGCGCCGGTATCTAGCAGTGAAGAAAATTAACTGTTAAGCTGGGCTGGAGGCTTTGTCAACGCAATTTTTTCAAGTTGGGACTATGTGTGAATATTTGGGCACATAGTTCTTACTTGTCTGCATGGGAGTTAATTGCTCCCATTGATGGGAAATAAAGCTTATTAACCCCCTTAAGATCTTGCCCCCTGATTTCGAAGAGATCTGCTGTGGTCCTAAAAGGCTGTAATGGGCATTTTCAGCTTTGCGGTGTAGGAAGAGCTGCAGAGAGCACAGAGAGGGGGCTGGACTGTGGTCCAAGGCTTTGCTTCCCTGACAGCTCTGGTTCTCCCTCCTCTTCTGCAGGTGACCAGCGCAGCAGCGTGGTCAACGAGTCCAGCAGCCTGCTGGGGGGCTCCCCCCGCCGCCAGTGCGGCCGCAAAGGGTCCCCGTATCACACTGGGCAGCTCCACCCCGCTGTGCGGGTGGCGGATCTCCTCCAGCATATCAACCAGATGAAGACAGCAGAAGGCTACGGCTTCAAGCAGGAGTATGAGGTGAGAGCATCTTGTGCTGGTGTCTTGGGGAGGGCAGGAGGGAGGATGGACAAGGTGGCACAGGTAGGCTCCGTGTGCAAGGAGAGGATGCTCCAGCTCTGGAGCTGCAGTGCTCTGGGCAGCAGGAGCTGGAGCTCACAGCAATGTAGGCAGGGCTTAACAGTACGTGGGGTGTCCCTGGGTCTGGATCAAATCTCTAGTCCTGGCAGCTCAGGATTTAATCGTCAGCTTGAACAGGTCCCTGTGATGAGCCAAACCAGCTCTGCCAGCCAGCCCGCACATCTCCCATCCGCAATGCGTCATCCCACCTCTCCCCAGGGGCTGGGGATGCTTTTCCCTTCCTCAGGTCCTCCTGGGCACCACCACGCCACGTTCTGCTCTCCAACACATCTGTCCTGTGATAAGCACGGACATAGCCTAAATCCTCTGCAGTTTGTCAGCTCCCAAGACTGTGGAGAGACCCCAGGGAGAGGATGCGAGAGAGGGTGATCCCAGGGGGGAGGGAAGTTCCCACCAAGGGTTGTTGGCTGCATCGTGCCCATCCCTCCTCGCTGGGCCGGAGCACTTGTAACGGAGCACACTATTCCCTGTGCCTCTGCCACAGCGCACCCAGCAGGGTTGATTTCTCGACTCCTCAGTGTCCCACAGGTCTGGCGATTGAAATTTCCCAGTGAAATTACTGTTTAATGCTTAGTTGTTTCAAGTGCAGGAGCTTTTTTCCCCCCCCTTTCATGTATTGGACAAACCAGGGCTTGCTATAATCATTAGTGCTCCTTGAAAAGCTGCTGTATGTTCTTGCAACTAGTCATTTGAAAGCACTCAGATATTATGGGAGGGGAGAAAACATGTAATTTCCTTCCACTTTCCTCCTCTTATGCCAATCTATGAATGTTACTGTTATTACACACAAACCTATTCTGTGCTGGGGAGAGAAAGGGACTGGGGAGGTTTAGAAAAAAAACACAACCAACCCAAGGAAAAAAACAGGCGGTCTATAATTTGCTGGAAAATGGGGTATTTTGTGGATGCAACAGAAGTGTATAGCTGGCGGAGCATGCTATGGAGCTGGAGCTGGGGCTGCAGGACCCGGGTGTTGGGCTGGAGGGATCACCCTGTCTGCTCTGCTCCCCAGGGAGGTTGTGGGGCTGGGGGGGACCCCACAGTCCTGCCCTCGGGTCGTGATGGCCATCCTCTCCTTACAGAGTTTCTTTGAAGGCTGGGATGCTTCGAAGAAGAAAGACAAGACCAAAGGGAGACAGGATCATGTGTCGACATGTGAGTGTCTTTAGCAAAGGCTTAGGACAACCTGAACAGCTTGAAAGACCTTCTGGAGGGCTTTGGGGATTTTTTTGGTAGTTGTGTGGTCCCTGGAAAGGAATAAACTGTTGGGGGTTGGTTGGTCAAAGGCAGCAGAGAAGTCCTTGCTCAGCGCAGGGGTCCCAGCCTGAGAGCTCCTGTTGGGCATGAGACACTGGAGCAAACGGGAGGGCTGGAGCTGGGCAACTCTTGAGGGTGGGACATCTCGGGGTGGGGATGATGTCACTGTGATATTCTGGGTGGTGCTGGAAGGCCCCAGGGAACCTGGAGTTGTTTTCTAGTATGGACTTAGGAGAAAATGCAGCCCTGCCCTAGGGAGCTTCTGGTGTGGATGTACAGGATGAAACAAAGGGGTTAAATGATGAGATTTTGGGGCAGAAGACTGGGGAAGGGCTTGACCCCACGGGAGAGAGGGATGCTCCTCGCCAGCTCCCTCCAGTCAGCATGGCACAGCACGGCCACCTCACTCCCTGCTGCATCTCTGGTGACGTTCCTGCAGGGATGGAGGCACCAGGCCTGATGCTCTCCACCTCCCACACGCTTTGCTCTGCTGCTTTGTCCCTTCCACTCCAGCCCTGTCCAGGGCCCCAGGTGACACTTGAAAGTGGGGCAGAGCACCCCACTGTCTGGGCTCTGGCCATCCTGGTGCCATGATGGGTTGGACAGCAGGGTGCTGGAGGGTGGGACAGGGCTGGGCAGAGCTCAGGGAGATAACTGGGCTGGAAACTGCTCCCCTGTGGCTCTGCTTGTCCAACACACCATCTTCAGAAAGACCTCCACCAGCTTATTGCTCCTGAATACATCCCACCTGCCTGCGTTTTGCAGATTCATGGTGCAAAACGGTTGCAAATGGTGTCCTGGGACCTGGCAGGGTGACGTGCTGCCCTGTGCTTCTCCCCCCGGGTGCTGACGGTTCCTTCTCCCCTTGCTCTCCAGATGACCGTCACCGAGTGAAGCTGCACCCGCTGCTGGGCGACCCCAACTCCGATTACATCAACGCCAACTACATCGATGTAAGTGGGGATGGTGCCTCTCTCCGTGAGGGCTCTGGGCTGGGACAGGAGCTTCCTGTGGACCCAGTGGGCTGTCAGGGTCTGTCCCCGAAGAACCAGCAGCATTTGGAGGAGCTGAGACGGGCCAGGACGGGCTGAACCGTGTGGCCCAGAGACACATCATGATGATCCTGCCTGGTTTATTTATGTTCATCAGCAATTTCTGCTTGCTGTGTCTCTCCCTTCTCTGCTCTGCTCTGTCTCCTTTCTTCTCCCCTTTTCCATCCTCTCTTCTCCCCTTGCCTGCTCTCATGGCCATGGATCTCCCTCTTCCCTGGGCGGAGGGTGCAGAGGTTGAGGGGGCTGAAGGAGCAGCTGGGGCCTCACGCTGGGATATCCCCTGATCCTGTCAGTGTAGACCCTGGCCCGGGTGTCCCCTGAGAGCAGTGTCCCTTGTTCCCTCCAGCCATGCCAGGAGCAGGGGAGGTGCAGGGAGGCTCTGTTGGGCACAGGGCTCGAGCATCTCCTGGCAGCAGCAGCAGGTCCCACTCATCCCTCCTTTCCAGAGGATGTCATCTGACTGTGGTCTGATGCCACCGTGACGGGTTCCCTGTGCCCAAGCAGCATCCCTGTGCCTGTCCCCTGTCCCCATGTGTCCTTTCTCCCCTGTGGCTCTCCATGACCCGCTCTGGGGCTGGTACTCTAACCTGTCTCTTCAGCTGTGCCTCACTAATGTCTCTGTCTCTGATCTTTTTCTCTCAAATTTGTGTCCTAACGGGATCGTTAAGATTCGGATTAACCGAGAAGTAAGTAGATGGTTTCCCTCTCCTCCCTTCTCTCTGTTCCTGTCCCCTCCCAGGTGTTGTACTGGTTAGTGTGGCATTAAATAGCATCTGGGAGAGGCAGGCTGGGAAAATGTGTGGATAAACTTGGGGTACAGTCCAGGGAAGGGGAGGGCAAGATTTCTGCAGCGTGTTCTCCCCGGGGTGATGGGGAGCAGGGCTCGTGTGCTCAGAGGAGAGGTTGAATTCAGCCCACAGAAATCCCCCATAAAATAACCTGTGGTGGATGGAGAAGCTGCCATCGCCTCCATGTGTGTGACGTGGTTGAACTCTTCTGGACTCATGGCTGAGGAGTGGGACACTGGGTCCTTGGTCCTTTTGGCAGTGGCCTTGCTGGGACCTGCTCTTTGGGCTGGCACGTCCCGGTTAAGACTTGGGAATGTCCCCAGTAAGCGGCTGGGATGAAGGAGGGGAGCGGGGCCATTGCTCAGCACCGTGTGACTGCGGTGGGATGGGCTTCACCCATGGAGCTCCTGTGGTGGTGTTGCCGCACTCGGTGGGGATGCTGGTGGCAGCAGGAGCTGAGATCGAGCTGCTGGACCCTGGGATGCCCATGGGGTGCTGCTGGGGACTTTGGTGCAGACAGAGATAAGGGTTGCGGGATACACGAGCTTTTTGTGGGATGTGGCACACGTGCGCTCCCAGGACAGGGTGTGCTGGGTGCAGGGTGGCTGCTGAACCTCCTCCTCCTCCTGCACACCAGTGACCTGAGCGTGGCCTGGCAGCTGTGGGCAGTTGCCACCACTTGGGTGACTGGGAAATGTTTTACAGGGCTGTGCCCCAGTGCATCCCCCTCACTTGGGACTGATGTCTCTGCTTCCTTTGCAGGGCTACCACAGGTCCAACCACTTCATAGCCACACAAGGTGAGTTGCCTCCTCCCCCCCATCCCTTCAGCCTGTGGTTTGGCAGCTCCTGATTTAGCAGGCAAGTTTTGTCCCCAGGATTTAACCTTGTATGGGCAAGAAAGGGAGGGAGTGGGCCAGTTTGGGGCCAGATGGGGTGGTAGCAGTGTGGAGCAGCTCCCAATCCTCCTGCTGCCCCATGGCACTCCACAGCCCTGGGGGAAAAGGGAGCTTAAAAAGCTGTAGGGGGGGTTAGTGCTGCAGAGGCAGGAGGGGAAACACAGTGGTGTCGCAGCAGTGCCCATCCATCCCCCATGGCCTTTCCTCTGTGCCGCAGGGCCCAAGCAGGAGATGGTGTATGACTTCTGGCGCATGGTGTGGCAGGAGCACTGTTCCAGCATCGTGATGATAACCAAGCTGGTGGAGGTGGGCCGGGTAAGGACCTCATCCCATCCCTCTCCCTTGGGGCTCCAGCTCTGCCAGAAGCCTCTTCTGCAGAGCAAAAACTCCATCCCATCCTCTCCTTGCAGGTGAAATGCTCCAAATACTGGCCGGATGACTCTGAAATGTACGGGGACATCAAGATCACCCTGGTGAAGTCGGAGACGTTAGCCGAGTACGCTGTCCGCACCTTCGCTCTTGAGAGGGTACGGGTCTGCTCCCGCCAGCCACAACCTGCCCCATCCTGCCCTCGCAGGCAGAGAACTGACCGCCTTGGGCACCTCTAACCATCGCTAGATTGGTGTTTAACAACACCCGATGTATTTACCCCACCACGGAGCTTTCACCCCCAGTTGAAGTGCAACTTCTGAACCCCAGGGATGCTGGTAGCTTCTTCCTTTGCCTTTTCCCTGGCTCTGTGCCCTCTGCAGGGGTGAGCAGCTCAGCCCTGCTTTGGTTTCAGCAGTGAGTATTTAATTTCTCTGTGAGCCCCGTGTAATTGTGATGAGGGCGAAGGATGATTTTTCTCCTCTGGACAGCAGCACAGGTTTTGTGGCCACTGCTTTCCAGTGTGGTACCTGGGGATGGAGCTGGTGTGATTTACGCCTTAATCTACCGAAATGTAAAAGTATTGTCTAGTTATAGGGCAAATAGCAAAGATGGTCATTGAATGAGGCCTGTGGCTGCTGCTGCTTCCTCATTGCCTGGTTTTTAACCCTCTTGCAGCTGAGGAGAAGGTTGCTGTGGGGCTGCTGAAGCAGCTGACTGCTGTGGGGTCTGTCTGGCTGTCTGCTAAGATGGCAAAATCATGGATTCCCAAGAAAATCCGGTGTTTGGGTGGCTTTGCCCTCGCCATGCACCCTCACTCCATTTCCCCTTCCCTTGCAGCGGGGCTACTCAGCCCGACATGAGGTGAAGCAGTTCCACTTCATGTCGTGGCCCGAGCACGGTGTCCCCTACCACGCCACGGGGCTGCTGGCCTTCATCCGCAGGGTGAAGGCGTCCACGCCGCCCGACGCCGGCCCCATCGTCATCCACTGCAGGTGTGTGCGTGGCCGTGGGGCAGAGCTGGTTGGGGAAGGCGGAGGGGGGAGCATCCCCCTCTGGGATGAGGTTTAGGGAGGCTGTGGATGGCCCTGGGGGGAGCAGGGTGGGTGCTCAGTGATGCAAAAATATTCAGCATAAATTGGGTTTGTAACAAGGCTGAGGCAGGGAAGGTGCTGGGGCTGATGGTGTGGGGTCGGATGTCCCTGCACAACAGCATCCAACTGTAAAATGTCATCACTGAGCTGGTGGCAGCCCAGATTGGGGGGGCTGCCGGTGTTCCAGGGGGACAAGGAGGGAGCAGCACATTTTGGGGGATGCCCCAGCACCCGTTACTGACAAGACAGCTCTGTCCCTGTGGGTGAGGGTGGCACAGTGGGGGGACAAGTAGCCACTGCTGGTGGCAACATCAGGATGCTGGTGGGGGCAGCAGGACAGCCCCATTCCCGGGATACTGGCAGCGCTGCCCCACAGGGCTCAGCCACTGGGATGCTGGAGCTGGGAGGAGACCAGTGGCACCTCTGAGTCGGAGCTTTCTGTCCCCTGAGCAGGCGTCCCCATGCCACGGGTTAATGGCTCTTCCTCCGCTGGGCAAACAAGGAGGAGCTGATGAGTGGGAGGGATTTTTTTATTTGATTTCTCACTGTCAATTGCCTCATCAGTATTCATTCACCGGCAACAGCAAGTGTGATTAGTGCCCGTAGCCTGTAATCACTGATAATCACGACGAGTGATTCATCAGCCCCATAAATTAGTATTTCACTGGAAAAGACTTTGTAGGAAAGGAGCCGGAGGGAGCAGTTCTGTTCCTGATGAGTTGGGGGTCGGGGTGGGGGTCGCAGCATCAGGAGGGGGTCTTTAGGCGTGAGTCCAGCCATGCCAGGATTTGGGATATCTCTGGGGCTGCGTCATCTGGCTCCAGACATATTGCTGGGCTCAGCCTTGACCCAAGGGTCTCCCCTGGGAACATTCAGGCCCCCTCTGTGCTGGGGTCTCAGGGCTTGGTGCTGCACCTCCTCCTCTACCCTTTTGGGATGGGATCCTGCAGGACTATTGGCACTCAGATGGCTTGGCTGCTGGTTTTGTTGCAAAAAACATGTGTTTTGCTGTCTTAAAGCAAAAATGAACCTAGACGTGGGTGCCCACCCCCGCAGCCTCTGCGCTGCTGCAGCGGTGTGTTTGGGCGGGTGGTTTAAGGCAAGACTGGGCTGTGGTTACGGAGGTGTACGAGGTCCTGGCAGCCCTGCCTGGACCCCCACTGCCCCCCCTGTTTCTGGGCAGGGACTGTATGTCAATCCCTCACCCACACAGACCTTGCTCTGTGCCCACCAGCATCTCAGGCTGCATGTGGATGCTGTGCAGACTGGGAATGTGTTTATTGTGTTTTCTTCCTCCATCCCCAGTGCCGGCACGGGGAGAACTGGCTGCTACATCGTCCTGGATGTTATGTTGGACATGGCTGAGTGCGAGGGCGTCGTGGACATCTACAACTGCGTGAAGACCCTGTGCTCACGGAGGATCAACATGATACAGACGGAGGTGAGCGGGTGTCGGGAAGAGCCGGGGGCACGCGGGGCCGCTGTCACCGGCGGGTTGCGGAGGCTCAGCCCTCTCCCCTCTCCTCCCCCTGAAAGGAGCAGTATGTCTTCATTCACGATGCCATCCTGGAAGCCTGCCTGTGTGGGGAGACCAGCATCCCTGCCAGCGAGTTCAAGCCCACCTACAAGGAGATGGTGAGGATAGAGCCGCAGAGCAACTCCTCACAGCTGCGGGAGGAGTTTCAGGTGAGCAGCCCCAAAATCTCTGCTCCCCCCATGCACCACCTCCGTGCTCTTCACCCTCCCAGTGCCCACCACCGCTGGGACCAGTGGGCTCTGGTGAGCAGCAGGCAGGGGGGTTGGCCCCAGTGCAGGCAGGAAAGGAGCTAAGGGGAGCACGTGTACCCGCAGACCCTCAACTCGGTGACTCCCCACCTGGACGTGGAGGAGTGCAGCATCGCCCTCCTGCCCCGCAACCGGGAGAGGAACCGCAGCATGGACGTCCTGCCGCCCGACCGATGCCTTCCCTTCCTCATCTCCGTGGACGGAGACAGCAACAACTACATCAACGCGGCCTTAACTGATGTGAGTGTGCTGCGGGGAGGGAAGGGGGGGCCGTTTTGGGTGGTGGGGGGCAACTTTTCACAGCAAAATCTAGCTTGGTTTGAATTTACAGCCTCTTTTCGCACCAGGGCAGGCAGGCACGTGGCAGCTGCGTGTGTGGGGAGGCAGGGCTGGGACTGGCGTAGCGGGGTCCTTCACCCCTTCTTTTGTGTAGTGGCATTTGGTTCGTCTTGAAAGAGCTTTTTGCCTGCTCTCGCAGGCTGCACACAAAGGATCTTCATTTATTTTGTAGCGAAAATGGAGCATAGGCGGGAGAGGAAGCTCTGGGAGGGGTTGGTAGCACTGACCCCCTCCGTGTGCCACCAGCACCCTGCTGTGCGCCCTCCTGCCCGTCCTCCTGCTGCGATTCAGGAGGCTCTGAACTACTCCCAAAGCCACCGTGCATCCCCCAGTGCAGTCAGAAAGGACACCCGTGGTGGCAAGCTATTTCCTACCTGCTGACGACTGCAAAGCGGAGCAGAGAGGATGCTGCAGGCTCCATGCCCGCGCTGAGCAGTGGGTCATTTATCACCAAAACCACTTTGCTCTCCTTGAAACAAGCCGGCCTGCTTTGCACGGGCAGCACTGAGCCCTGCCACACCCTGGGCACTTTCCCCAAACCCTCCTGGTGGCAGCTGAGCCCTGGTACCAGGCTGAGCCCTGTCTTCTCTACCCCACGGGTGATTTATCATCCTGCATCTCTGTGCAGATCTCATTGCCCTGGTACTTGCTCTCTCAGCAAAAAGCAGTTTGTAAAGCGGAGGTGGCTGCTGGCGGCTGGGGAGCAGCACCCATTGGGCTGCAGGCTTTGGCTACCATGAGACGGGAGCTTTGTTTTCAGCTTGCTTGGTGTTTGCATATCCGTTTTAATTTTATACATCACTGAGCCTCCCTTAATCTCTGCTACAGGGTCAGAGAATAAAAATATTTTTAATAGACAGAAAAAGCCCTTTGGGTGAAATTCTCGCTGAAGGGATAAAACCCATTTTCCTCTTTGGGGGAAAAAAAAATAAAGAAGTCTCATTTTCTTTAAGTGCCAAAGTGGTTTGCTCAATCAGTCTGTCCATCTGTCAGATCAGATTGGTCTGTGCTGTCCATCACCGGTGCTGAGCGCGGTGCCGGCGGCGGGCTGGGGGAGCCGCTCTGTGCTCCGTGCCGGCTGCTGTTGTTCACACCGGTGCCAAAGGACTGCGGGTGGCCAAGGCAAGCCTGGTCAACACCTGATGAAACCTCCCTTGCCCTCCTCGAGGGCCAACAGCTCTCTCCGAGAGCTGGGGGACTCACTGCCGCCCCGTGGGCATGACAGGGAGAAAGGTTCAATAAAGGCATTTCCATGAGCTAAATGAGGAGGTTTTGCAGCAGCCAGAGGACTCCCCGTTAGTGGGAAGCTGTGCTAATTTGCGGGCACAGAACATTTTCTGCTCTGTTCCTGTATTTGAAGAGGCTTGAGCTAAAGTGTGTTAATTTAAAAGTCTGATGCAGTGTTGAGCTTGGCTGTGGGCTCCCAGTCCCTTGGCAAGCCGGTGTCAGAATGACCGTGAGGACAAATCTTGTTCAAAGCATGAACGAGAAGTAATTTCCCCTCTCCCCCCGCCCCTTCCTTCTTGCAGTCTTTAGGGGTCTTTCACTGGGGGGTTTCCTTTCCTCCCCCAAAAAGCCCAGGTTGGTGGTTGTGTCTGCTGCTCTCAGTGCCCGGCAGGGTTGGGCACTGTGGGTGGGGGGAAGCTGTGGGTGATTTGGAGCCAGGGTGCAGAGCTGGGGGCTGGGGCCGCCTGGCAGCCATGGCTTTTGCTTGTTCTTGGCTCCAAGGTGACATCTTTTCCCTAGTGACTTGTGCAAAATACATTTCCCTGTGAGAGCAGAAAGCAGGTGCTTTCATCCTGACCAAGGGCAGGGATCACTTAGACCTGTTTTTATAGCATCTCCCAGCACCAGGACATGGAGGATCGAGGCCATGCCAGGGAGACTCTGCTCAAGCATGGAGATGGCTTTGGTGCCACTTATCATCTGATTGCATTGGTTTTTTGGGGGTGTGACAGCAGTGGCTTCAGCACCACCGCCACGTCCTTAACAGTGCTCATCTTCCCTCTCCGCAGAGCTACACCAAGAGTGCTGCCTTCATCGTCACCCTGCACCCGCTGCAGAACACCACCACCGACTTCTGGCGGTTGGTGTACGACTACGGCTGCACCTCCATCGTCATGCTCAACCAGCTCAACCAGTCCAACTCCGCCTGGGTGAGTGCTGCTGGCCCCGTGGGTGACCCTGTCCTGCTCCGTCCCCACTGCCTTGGCAGCGCTGCAGCCCCTGCCCTGCTCAACCAGCTCCTTCTCCTCTGCAAAGGGAGATGGGACTGGCTGCAGCACCCCGGATTTGTCCCCTGTAAGCACAGGGCTGGCCAGCTGGGGCCAAAGATGCTTTCAGCAGCAAACCAGCCTGGTGCCGCTGCGCTGGCCACTGCGTTGGCCGCTGCGTTGGCACTGCTTTACTGCACCATAATCCTTGTGGATGCCCCAGGGAGATACAAGGTTAACGACACGTATAACCTTGTTGTTATAAAGAACTTATTTTTATCCTCCTTTTACAAAGGGGAAACTGAGGCACAGGAGATTTCCCGCTTTCATCTTCCAAGGGCGCTGGTGGCTCCTGAATGCTGCTTTATAAGTCAACCTGCTGCAAAGCTGCTGTCCCCTGGGTTTTACGGTGTGAGGGGATGTGCAGATCTGCCAAACTGGAGGGGAGGGTCCCCTGTCACCTGGGGGAGAGAGGACAGAAGCTGGGGAGTGGCGGGCCATGCTCAGCCTCACCTTGCTTTACTCTCCCCATGCACTGCTCCCCAGGGGGATGCCTGGAGCGCTCTTGCCACCACCAGAGCAGGTGTAAAAGTCTGCTGCAGGTCTGTAATGTTATTTCAGTGAGGAAACATTGGATTTTTACATAAAATTAACATTATAGACTTTTAATGGATGTCTGGAGAAGACATCATTATAAAATAATTAATTATTTTATGAGTTGAGACCAGATACTCGATGTAAATGACCCAAACTGACAGTTGCACCATTTGTTGGAAGGGTGCAGACGGTTACAGCACCAGTACTGACTGGTGTGTGAATACACTGGTATGTATTTACAGATATAAACATGCTGGACGTGTGCAGAGCTCTGGAGCGCACCCACGCGTCCCTCCGTGCTGAGCTAAGGCCACGTGCTCCAAAGGGCCTTCGTGGGGGGTGACATTAAGCAGACCCTGAGTAGAAGGATGTCCTGGGAGGGTCTCTTGCCTTGCTGGGAGAGGAGGCAGAGCTGGCTCCAGAGAGCTTCCCAGAGGAGTTGCTTTTAGATCAGGTTCATGTTTAACGAAGCAATGTGCCCATGGACATGCCGAAATCAGCAGGTTTGTGTGAGTGGGGTTGTTGGAGAGGCCCCGTCCAGCACTAGCAGCTGGGACTGTTTGTCTAGAGCTTGACAATGGTGATGGAAGGGTCAAGTGTTTATGGGTAAGAATCAGGGGAAAGGCCAACAAGGCAGATATTGTGGTGGGAGTCTGTTCCAGACCACCCAACCAGGATAAAGAGACAAATGAAATATTCTATAAGCACCTGGGAGAAGTGTCACGGTTGTTAGCCCTTGTTCTCATGAGGGACTCCAACTTACGAGATGTCTGCTGGAAATACAGTACAGCAGAGGAAATAACCCGGGAGGTTCCTGGAGTGTGGGGAAGAGACCTTCCTGACAGAGCTGCTGAGGGAGCCAACCAGCAAGGGTGGCCCACTGGACCTGTTGTCTGTGAACAGAGAAGGACTTGTGGGTGATGTGATGGTTGGAGGCCGTCTTGGGCACAGCAATCAGAAAATGAGTTTTCAGTTCTCAGAGAAGTAAGGAAGGGGGTCAGCAGAACTGCTCCCTTGGGCTTCCAGAGGTCTGACTTTGGCCTCGTTGACAGAGTCCCTTGGGAGGCAGTCCTGAAGGGCAGAGGAGTCCAGGAAAACTGGGCATTCTTCAAGAAGGAAATCTTCAAGGTGCAGGAGCAGGCTGTCCCCATGTGTTGAAAGATAAGCTGGCAGGGAAGGTGCCCGGCCTGGCTGAACAGAGAGCTTTGGCCGGAACTCAGGAAAGAAAAAAGAGAGTTTATGACCTTTGGAAGAAGGGGCAGACAACTCAGAACTACAAGGATGTCATGAGGTTATGCAGGGAGAAAATTAGAAGAGCCAAAGCCCAACTAGAACTTAATCTTGCTATTGCAGTAAAAGACAAGAAAAAGTGTTTCTTTATGTTACATTAACAACAAAAGGTGGGGTAAGGAGAATCGCTATCCTTTATAGGATGTGGGGGGAAATATAGTGACCAAGGATGAGAAAAAGGCTGAGGTACTTAATGCCTTCTTTGCCTCAGTCTTTAGAAGTAAGCACCCAACCCCCTGAGCTGGAAGACGGGGACAGGGAACAGAATGAAGCTCCTGTAATCTAAGGGGAACTGGTTAGCAACCTGCTACACCACTCAGACACACACCAGTCTGTGGGGCCGGATGAGATGCACCCAAGGGCACTGAGGGAGCTGGTGGAGGTGCTCACCAAGCCACTTCCCATCATTCATCATCAGTTGTGGCTAAGTGGGGAGGTCCCGTTGACTGGAGGATAGCAGATGTGATGCCCAGCTACAAGAAGGGCTGGAAAGAGGAGCGAGGGAACTACAGACCTGTCAGTCTGACTCAGTGATAGGGAAGATTATGGAGCAGATCATCTTGAGTGCCGTCGCATGGCACATGCAGGATAAGCAGGTGTAAGACCCAGACAGCATGGTTTTATGAAAGTCAGGTCCTGCTTGACTAACCTGACCTTCTGTGACAAAGTGACCTGCTTAGTGGATGAGGGAAAAGCTGTGGATGTTGTTTACCTGGATGTTGTTTAATAAAAACTTTGATGCAATTTCCCACAGCTAGTTTCTCCAAGAGAATGCTACTTATGGCTTGCACAGGTGTACTCTTCAGTGGGTAAAAAAACTGGCTGATGGCCGGGCCCAAAGAGTTGTGGTGGTTGGAGTTAAATGCAGCTGGGGACTGGTCACACGTGGTGTTCCCCAGGGCTCAGGACTGGGGCCAGTTCTGTTTAATGTCTTTATCAGTGATCTGGATGAGGGGATTGAGTGCACCCACAGTGACTTTGCAGATGACACCAAGTTGGGCCGGAGTGTTGATCTGCAGGAGGGTAGGAAGGCTCTACAGAGCTGGATTGTGCTTGGAGAAGAGCAACAAAGGTGGTGAAGGGTCTAGAGAAGAAGTCCTGTGAGGGAACCTGTGTTGTTTAGTCTGGAGAAGAGGAGGCCGAGGGGAGACTTTATCACTCTCTACAACTACGTGAGGTTGTAGTGAGGTGGGTGTTGGTCTCTTCTCCCAACAAACAAGTGATAGGATGAAAGGAAATGTTGCACCAGGGGAGGTTTAGATTGGATAATAGGAAAAATTTCTTCACTGAAAGGGTTGTCAAGGCTTGGAACAGGCTGCCCAGGGAAGGGGTTGACTCACCATCCCTGGAGGTATTCAAAAGACTGTTATTAATATTTTATGGTGAGGGCTCTGTGATTGCCTATGCTTCATTAGTTTTGAAAATCTTGGTTTAGCACTTTGTGATAGAGCCATCCAAAGGGCTGGCTCTAAGTCCAGTTTATTTTGAAACTTGGTTTTAATGACTCACTGCTGAGAAAAATTCCTCACACAGATGTGTAGGTGCAAATGGAAGAACTTCATTGTCGGCTGTGCTTATTAAACCCTGACACTTGTTTTTCAATCCCTCCACTGCTTAGGCAAAGGGTTTTCTTGGCTGATAAATGTCCATCGTTCCCAGTGTCAGCCAACTGCACTTGCAAACTAACTGTTCGATTTTTTGGGGTTTAGCAAATGCTCTCTCCACAGCACAAGTTTCTTCCAAAAGCGGTTACTTTCTCACTCATCGATCAAACGGCACCTTACATGTATTTTTTGGACAAGATCTGCTCGGTAGCATACTACTGACAGCAGCTGGTCATCAGCAAGTTTACAAGGCTTGTCTTTTTGTGAAAGAAAACACCTTGAAGTTCGACAGCTCTTTTAAGCCCTTGGGTGTGAGATAAGCAGCAAATCTCCTTGTGGTTCAAGGGATGTTCATCGTAGCTCCCCGTCTCATTCCAGCCTATTGTGAAGAAGTCATTTACTGCTGAGAATAGACCATTTCTGTGTGAGAACGTATAAATGAGATGACAATAAATAGAAGTTCAACTGTTTCCTTCCCGCATCCCTATGGATTGTCTTGCACACCCCACTCTGGAGACCACTGGCTAAGCAAACCCAAGTGAGGACTGATCTGGGTGTCCTCCGCTGGAGACCGTGTTACAAACCCAGAAGTCTTCAACACCTGGTTCGGTACAAGTGACATCCCCCTCTCTGGATTAGTGATTTCAACATTCCTGACTTCATCGGGTGTGTCTCCATCTGTGAACCTTCCTCGAACTAGTGCTCCGACTTTGACCTGCTTCTCCGTGACTTTGTGCAGACCTGGCAAGCTGCCCGACGTTATTGAAGGTCTCTGGTTTCTGTGAGCCAAGCCACAACAATATCGATTTTCAAGTCATTGGGACAGGGCACGAGCAGCATTTGCCTGCTGCTTCCCGGTGCCAGTTGAACTGGCTGTGGGCCTCTTCATCTGGCGGATGGATGCTCCACCTGGGAGGTGCAATTACGTACTCAGCTCTTACCTGGGACCTACTTTAGGGAATCTTTCCATGAGTGACTGGGCCAGGTAGCGCTGCATGTTTACTGTGAACCTATGAACTCGTGATCTAATTTCTCCTGAGCACTGTAATCTTTTTGCATCAGTGGGTGTGAAGTGTGGAGCACCCCGCAGAGCCAGTGTTCCAGGTCTGCCCTCCCCAAAAAGTGCAATTCACTGTTGTGTGGAAAGGGAGGGGCTCACGAGGTAGAATCTTGTGTAAAGGCTTCAGTGAAAGGCTCTTCTCGAGAGGAAGCCTGAGAAAATGCTGTTGGGAGGGAGAGGTTCTTCCTGCAGTAAGGCCGAGCGGTGGCTCCCGTAGGACAGAGGTGTGGCTGTGCTGGTGGCAGTGCTGTAGCTCTCCCCAGCTGGGCTGTGGGATGGGCAGGAGAAGCCAAGTGTGCTCCCTGCATCCCCGCTGCCCCTGGCCCCTGGCCTGAGCTGGGGGAGGAAGGGGCATGGCCCCCCCAAGGGCTGGGAGGGGCTGCTTTGGTTGGAGTGGCCCTGGGTGCTGGTGCAGCTCCTGGATTAACCAGGGTGGCCTTTTGCTGGGTTTTGCTGAGCGCAGCTCTTGGGCTTGGGGCCTTTGGCTCTCCGGGGCTGGAGCCAAAGCCTTTGTGTCCTGGAAGGCAGCACCCCCCTGCCCCCCCTGCCGTGGCTGTGAGGCTGTAGAGATGGGTCAAGGCAGCTCGAAAGGTTTATTAGGGAGAAGCGAATCCCTTGGCTGGGGTGTGGGGGCTGTTTGCAGGGGCAGGAGCTGTGACCGGGTGTGGTGAAGCCGTGGCTGGAGCAGGAGCTGCCACCTGGGTGCCAGCGGGGCTGTGGCTGTAGGGCCCTTTGTGGGGGGCACTGGCACTGCCCCTTGGGGTGCTTGTGCCAGCTCATGGCTCGGTGGGTGTGGAGCTGGTGGTTGCCAATGGCTGGGGGTCATTGTCCTCCTCCGCAGCTCCAGCTGAGCCTCAGGGCATCGTCTTGGGTGCTCTTCCTCCATCTCAGGGCCCGTGGGGGTGCCGCTGGGGCTCTCTTTCTGCCACCGGCACGGTGCGTGAACATCCTGAGGAGGTTGGGGTCATCTCTGCTGAAGAGGTGGTTGTAGTAGAAGAGCAGCTACGGAATGCAAAGGAGGAGTTAGTTGCCATCACTGCAGGAAGGAGAAAGACAGAGGTCCCATAATTAAGCATCTACACCAGAAAAGACAAATGTGGGTGGATATGAAAAAGGGCTCTCTGGGGCATTTTAAACACCAAGTTTTGGCTGAATCAAATGTTAGGATTGGATTTTGTTAAGTAATAACCGCCCTTGTGTTTTGGCCATTTGGGAGCAGAGAAGTGGAGGGTTTTCATAGACCTAAAAAGTGATGGAGAAACCCAAGCACCACTAGTTTTCAGTCCATTTTAGTGGAATGGACACGCTGGGAATAATGTGAGGCTGGTGTATATCCCCCCGATGCAGAACTGCCCATCCTCTCTGGAATAACCCCCACTGTGTGATTTCGGTAGCGCTGCTTCTGTCGGGGTGTGCGTGTCCCCGGAGGATGCTCTGAGCTTGCAGCAGGCTCTGTGTGCTGCTCCCGGGAATGAACTGCACACGAGGGAGTGTTTCTTTTCCGAGAGGGTGGTCAAACCCTGAAAGAGGCTTCCTAGAGAGGTGGTTGATGCCCCACGCCTGTCAGTGTTGAAGAGGCATTTGGACCGTGTCCATAAGAACAGGCTTTCACTCTTGGTCAGCCCTGAAGTGTTCAGTTGGACCAGATTGGGAGTTGTAGGACCCTTCTAATGCAGCTCTTCTGTTCTATTCACTGTAGGATGGTGTAACTGAAGAGGTGAGAAGGGGGCTGTGTGGTGGCTGTCGCCTCTGTGTGCCTCTGCGAGTCCAGGGCAGAGGGTGTGGGTGCAGAGCCAGCAGCCCCGGGAGGCTCTGGCCAGGCGGGCTGTGCGGTCCCGGCGCGAGGACGGGGCTCGGCGCGTGGCTGCATGGAGCCCCGGCTGGCAGGGCCGCTTGCCCTGAGCCTGGTGGGCTTTGCTCCCGATGGGCTGGAGCTGCCTGGCTTCCCTCTGGGCACAGTGCCGTGGGAGCCGGGCGGATGAAGAGCTTTGCCTGCAAGTGTGGCCGTGAGCGAGAGCAGCTGTGCTGCCAGAGCAGCGGGAGGGTCGGCCTAGGTGAGGGTGACACTCGGGCACCCATTATTCACCTTTATTCACATTTACCCTCATTTGTGCTTAGATACCCACTGGGCACCAAGTGCCCCTTTAAAAACCCAGCCCTGGAGCAGGGCCACTATATTACTGTCCCTCCACTGTGTCCATCCAGCACCTCCCTTCTGCAGCACGGACACCAGCTGTCAGCGGAGCCCAGCTGCCGTGGACCACAGCAGGGAAGGAGGCAGCAAACCCAATTTCTCACTCTCAACCTGTTCTTTCATTCCGTGGTCCAGAAACATCCTTCAGCCTCACAGGAGCTGCCAACTCCTGAGCCATCCTCCCACAGGGTGCCAGGTCCCATGCAGCAACCAGTGTCCCCTGGCACTGTCCAACAGGGACTCTGCTATTTTTCTTCATTATACAGCCCTGCCTCTCTCTCTGGACATCTATTCTTCAGGGATGTCTGTGTTACAATATTTAGCTGGATCTTAAATGTTTACCAGTTTAGGACCAACAAGTAATAAATCAACCTTTACAGCAGGCAGCTCTGAAAGGTGACTTAGAGGGTATATCCCTCACTTGAACTACGTCTTGCCGAAGGAAGTTTTAATATCCAAATTATAGCTCTGAGTCTAGAAGGCTTAAAGATCTTGGAGATTTATAGCCCCTATTAATAACCAATTATTTCTCAAACACATTTGCCATGCAGTTAGGCCCAAGCCGTTAGATGACCTGAAATGCTAAATGCCCTGTTAAAGTGCGGTGACAAATGTCATATATTTTGTGTCGATGCTGGTTTCCCAGCTGTCACGGTGTGAAAACAATTGCATCTGTGACCCTTGAACTGAGCCATCCATCAGCGCTGTGCTGGACACGTGGAGAAGGAGCAGGAGTCGCTCCCCAGCCCTTTCCTGGGCTGCAGGTCGGGATTGATTTGACTTGGCGGGATGTCCTGGCCACAGGACGAGGGGGACTCTCATCCCATATGGCTGTTGCTGCTGATGGCAGAGCAGCATCTAAAGGCAGTGGGGTTCGAGAGCAGACTTGGAGCAGCCAGGCCCTGCTCCATCACAGAGCAGGCTCAGCCTCTGCTTGGTGGGGCTGAGGCAGGGTCCATCCTGGACCAGCAAAGTCCATCTCCAGGAGGCGTTTGTGCAGCAGGGGTTGGACCTGACCTTTCAGCTTCGATCCCCCCAGAAGCTGAGGGACCTTCCATCCATCAGTGCACTGTGGGTCCAGCACCCCATCTTGGGGCCACCCCCTCTGCCTGCAGCCCCTCTCCAGCACCAACCCCTCCGTTCCACTCAGTGTCACCTGTAGTGCATGGTGCCCCTTCCCCATGTCCCAGTACGTGTTCCTGGTCATGGTGAGCTGTCCTTCTCTCCGCAGCCCTGTTTGCAGTACTGGCCTGAGCCGGGGCTCCAGCAGTACGGCCCCATGGAGGTGGAGTACGTGTCCGGAGCGGCAGATGAGGACATCGTGTCCCGTCTATTCCGAGTCCAGAACATCACACGGGTGAGGGTCTCTCTGGCTCCGTGCCAGTGCAGGGGGGTCAGGGGGGATTCACGTGTGTCTCTGTGTGTGTCCAGGTGCCCCCCAGGCATCTCCCAGTGCAGAGGTCAGGCTGGGTGAGCTCGTGTGCAGGGGGGAGATTGCTTTTGTTAACCATTGCACTGGGGAAGGGCTGGAGCATCACCAAGAGCTTCTTTGTGTGAGTGAAGACGTTTTCTTTTGGAGAGCAGGATGATGCATCTAGTGATACTACGTGCGCCAAGAGCTTGTCATAGCCCAGCCACATAATTCTCCATAAACTAATGGAATGGTGCTGTAGGTGCTGGTGTCGTCTTCAGCCTCATCCAGCTCCTCCAGAGGATGCAGCCCCAGCTCTTCACCTGGCACAGAGGAGCCTGTAAAATCACCATTGGCTCCATCCAACCTTTTTGGAGTTCACAGCACCTTGCAAGATGTTAGGTAATTCTGTAGGAAGACCTTTCTCATCCTGCTCAGAGGTCCATCTCTGCCCTGCCACGGATGTATCGCAGGATGGAGACTCCCTGCATGGGCACAGCAGCTCCCCTGGGACCAGCAGAGCCCTTTTCCTGCAGGATGAGAAGATCCACACAGGTTTTCACCTGTTGTTGCATTGATGCTTGGCTGGTTCAACTTGCCTTTAAATGAAGAGAAATGCAGTGGGATTGGGAAGGGACAGGGACTGCGATGAACAGCCCACCTGAGTGCACAAGTGTATGTGGAAAGAAAAGCTGAGTTAACTACAAAAGGCAGACATGAAGAGGTGGTGTCCCTGCGGCCTTTAAATCTTTCAGAGGTGGACAAGAGGCTGAGGCTGATGCCTCAGTGGAGGTCATCGGGCAAATGGGAATTATGGATGTGTGTGGCTTGGCTGATGGCATGGCTGGGAAGGGTGCTTCAGTGAGGGAGCTGGGGTTGGAGGAGATAAATCCTGATTATCTGGACTCTTAACACAAAGAGGGGTTTGGTTCACGCTCTCTGTGGGGGAATCTGGCATTTTTTGGGTGTCAGCACAAAATCCTTCACCAAATGTGCTTTGCTTTCATGGTACAGTATAACCCATGCTGATTAAAAATGCAGCATGATTGAAATCTCTGGATCTAAGAAGAGAGTTCCTCAGGGAGCGATTTCTTGCCCTTGGCTGGAGGGGAGCTGGGCACTGGGGTGTCACAAGTCCTCCAGAGCCAGACGGAGCTTTCACCTGAGCTTCAAAACAGATCCCAAAGCTTTCCTTCCTGGACTGTCAGAGGAGTCTTCTCCTGTTTTAACTCCACTTATTTGTTTCATCTTCCCCCTCTGCTTTCCTGCCTTCCAGCTGGAAGCAAAGACTCAACCCCAGGGAGGTCAGCCCGTCCCAGCCATGTCACCAACCCACATTGGAGCTCCTGAAAAGTCCAGAAAAGCCCCTGTGCATTTGGGATGTGCTGCTTGGAGTGGGCACCGAATGCCCCCAACATCCATTCCCCAGGCTGAGGCTCCCTGCAGAGCCACAGGAATGCCTGGTCCTGCTGCCTGGAGATGTTCTGGTGCTCGCCCTGCTCATCAAGCATCTGAAACTGGGTGGATGGAGCCCTCCAGAGCTGGAGATCCCCCATCTGCATTTGATCCCCGCTTTCTCCTCCAGTGTGTGCTCTCACACGTGTGCCACTGAGCCCCGAAATACAGCTGGAGTGTGTGACCCGTGGTCTCATCCCGTCAGGCACTCCTGATGCCCTGAGTACTTCTGAGCAAAGCCCTGCATCTGCCTGGCTAAAGCCTGGCCTCGTTTAGCTTTGTGGCTGTAATCCTCCTCCTGGAGCCTGCTAACCAGATTAGGTTTCAAGACTAACCAGATTACCAGGGTATTAGGGCGCATTTCCACTGTTCCCCGCCTCCGTGGGTGGCAGCTTCTCATCAGCCTCCTGGTCTACAGCAAACACAACAAAACCACATCTTCTGCATGCAAGACAAAGATGGGATGGAGAAGCCTTGGGGAAGCTCAGGGGTCTGGTAACAGGTTTTGGGAGATACAGAGACAGCCTGAGATGCTGCGAGTTAGGATAAACCATGTCAGCGGAGCTTCCCCCGGCCGGAATGGGGTGGTGGAAGCAGTGTGAGCTGTGGAGGAGAGGGCTCGAGTTTTCCTCTCTTCCTCTACTAATACATGGCAAACCCCTCTTGCCCTCTCTCAGACCTGCACTGGAGGCAAATGAGGGCAGCCCATGGGTTCAAGCTGATGAGGTTTGCTTTTCTAGTTGCAGGAGGGGCACCTGATGGTCCGGCATTTCCAGTACCTGCGGTGGTCAGCGTATCGAGACACCCCGGACTCCAAGAAGTCCTTCCTGCACCTCCTGGCCCAAGTGGAGAGGTGGCAGAAGGAAAGCGGCGATGGCCGGACCGTGGTGCACTGCCTGTGAGTGTCATCTGGCGAGGAGCAGGCTCTGCCATGGGGGGAGATGCCACCAGCTCATGTGTACCCAGTTCTGCTTGAAGATCCTCTAAAAAGTCCTCACGGGTGTGACTTTGTCCCCAGTGGCGCTCTCTCTCCCACAACATGAGTTTTGCTTGAGGCACTTTGTGGTCACCACGTCAAACGTCCTCCATGAGATGGATGTTTGGTGGGAGTGACACCTGCCAGCAGCAGCCCTGCTGCTCGTGCCTGTACCCTGCCTTGCAGCGAGGCTCAGCAGAGGTCCCAGCCCTGTCACCACGTCCCATGCATGTCACAGGCTCCAAAGGAATGTGGCAGGAGCTGTGCAACTCCCACTACTTGCTTCTCATTGAGGTGGACATGCTCTCCATCCCCCTCCTGCCAGCTGGGTCTGGCTCACACAAACACCCGTGTGTGCTCTCCTCGATGGGACCTAGCACGTTCGCAGATTGGTAGAGACAGCAGGCGAGCCTTTAATCAAAAATTAATTACAGCCTCGTCCGTCTTCATTAGCCGAAGGATAATTTGAGAACATGCTTTATAAAACACTGGCATCGTGTTCTCTCTTTCTTTCCCTGGTCCCCTTTGCTGCCAGGGATCAGACGTGGTGGTGTGGGATGATTTCAGCCCAGGGTGGGGGGAGGTACCCGGTGAGCTCTGCGCTGGGGAAAATGTGGGATGGCTCCTCCAGCCACCACCACTCAACAGGTCATCAGCCCAGGGTCACCCTGTGGAGGGGAACGGTGTGGTAGAGGGACACAGTGGCTTCCACAAGGCCCCATGAGGAATTGCTCTGTGGCAGGGCTGGAAACTGGGCCCAGATGTCCAAGGTCCGGCTGTGATGGTCCAAAAAGGTGTTTTCATGCTCTGTTGTGGCTCTTGTGAGGACCAGAGAGCAGGATCACAGCTCCTGCCACTGCGTGGGACTGGTTCAGGTCCCCCAGTTTGGGAGGACTGTGGGGTGTGGGCTCCTGTTGTGGGACATCTGGGATGCAGGGATGGATAGAGCAAGGGGGAAAAGAGGGAGAAGGAAGATGCTCTAATGCCATGTTCTCACCACTGACACGTGTGTTTCTTCCACCAGGAACGGAGGTGGCCGGAGCGGCACCTTCTGTGCCTCCACCATGATCCTGGAGATGATCAAGTGTCACAACATGGCAGATGTTTTCTATGCTGCAAAGACCCTTCGCAACTACAAGCCAAATATGGTAGAGACCTTGGTAAGCACGAGACACCGCCAGCGGCCACCCTGGCTGCTGGTCCCCATAACACCTCCTTCCCTGCCCCAAATCCCGATGAGCACTGTGGGCATCCTCATGCAGAGCACGTCTGGGCGAGCGTGGCGGCGCCGTGCTGCGGGCTGGGGCGGGCAGGGGGGTGAGGCAGCTCTTGAAAGCAGCCTTGGACTTGCCTTCATCTCGCCGTGCCGACATGCCCTTGGCGTCAGCACTGGGCTTGTCAAAAATCCTTCCCAGGAGTAATAAGGCAGGTTTGCATTAATTCATGGGATGTAATTGCAGCTCTTCAGAGGGTTTGTGGCGCCGGGAGCAGCTCCGAAGTGGAATCAGACAAATTCCTGTTGGAAATATAAAAAGGGAACTGCATTTTGAGTGAAATTAATCGGTGGACAAGCTGCTGGGGGCAGCAATGGAGCCACATCTCATGATGGAGAGGCTGGAGGCGGCAGCGGGTCAGGGTGCAAAGCCTGTGCCCTATTTCAGGCCCTGGATAACAGGACAGGGAACGGAGCAGCGCGTGTCTGTCCCCGTGGTGGAGGGATCCAGGTGCTTTGTGATGTTTTAAAAGCAAGCCAGCCGGAAATGTTTACCCTGTTTAGATTATAAAATCCCTAAGTTGCAAAATGAAATGGTTTTGAGGAGGGGATGTGATTTGCATTAGGAATTAAAGTGGAGGAGCAGGTGAGGGAGGGGAGAGGGGAGCAGAGGGAGGAATGCAGATAATGGAAAGATGATGTGACAAGCATGAAGCCACCAGACCCATTGGGCTAAATTGCAAAGGCATTATAAAAAAGGCAACATTTCACATCAGGACACAAGCATCCTCCAGCCTCAAATGAACCTGAACCATCTATTCTGGGAATCCCAATCTACCGGAGTCACTGGGAGGCCGGATCCTCGCCCGATGTAAAGAGCCACAGCCCAGCAGAGAGCAGCCAGCACGTAGGAGCTTCCCGCTGCCCGTGCATCTTCCCCCTCTGTTTGCCTGTGGGGTTTATTTTATATGATGATAAATGGAAACAATCCCTTTTCTTAATCCAAAAAGCATTATGTGCTTTTAATCTAAGCTGTCACAGCCTCCTCGCTTTGCAGCCCTTTTCCCCCGCTGCCCGTTCCCACCTGGGGTCCCCGAGCAGCCGCCCACCCGCCTGGGGGATAACAGGATTTTCGTGCTGGTGCTCAAGCTGCCGATGAGGATTTCAGGAGATGAGCTCTCCCTCTCTGCTGTTGCACCCAGGATGCTCCCACAATATCCCAGTGCTCACAGCGGTGTCAGAAACCTGATTTTTGGTGGGTTTTTCTTCCCCACTCGGGCTGATTTTGCTTCTTGGATGCTTGAAGGAGACGCATCTCATGGAGATGGGCACTTCCAAGGTCTGAGCTCCCCTTGTAGTCTTCTGTGCTGTGAGTTGTATGAGGATGGGGGAGCACAAAAACAGGTCACGTAAAGGAGGACGAGGATGGATGAGACTGCCTTCGCAAGCCCAATTTCAGTGATTTTTGCTATAAAACCAGGACGCAGCCATGCTGGGCTTTCCCCTTGTGCAGCTGGGCAGCCAGCTGTGGGGGGAGCAAAGGGTGGGAAGGTGCTGACACTGTCCATAGCTGTCTCAGGGAAAGGAAGGGGTGGGACAGCGAGCCTTTCCCACTCGCACCCCTTGGCTCCAGCCAGGCTGTCACGGGTGGGTCAGACTTGGACCTGAGCACCAAAACGCTTATTCGTTTGCCATTTCCCTTGGAAAATTTGGATTTTTGGAAGAGAAAGCTCCTGGGACTTCCCTTCACGCCTCTTCCCACACCCAAAGAAAACGCCCAGACCAAATCCCTGCCAGGAATGGAAAACGGCATTTTTTTATCTGCAGCAAGAGAATTTGTGATGAGAAACGCCCTGGCAGCCCTGGCAGGGTGTCTACAGACAACGGATGCAGTGAGCACGGTCCTTATTTGCAGCCTCACTGAACTCAAAAATAGAAAAACTTCTTGATTTCAGGGACAAGATTTTACTTCATACACCAGGTCCCATCCCTCCCATGGCTCTGCCACTATCTGATTGATGGATGTCAATCACTGCAGGGGTGGGGGGGTTCCTGTGGGTGAGGCTGGTTGGTGGAGCCCTGCACTGGTGCTGCCTGGTTTGCACCCTGCTGTGGTGAATAAACCGTATTTTTGTGGTAAGGGGACATCACAGTCCTTGTCCATCCTTTGGGGGAGGTGAAGGTGCTGTGCGGCCCCAAGTTGCCGGAAATTCAGCACGTGTGGTGGTGCCTTTGGATCCGGGGGTTGATTCATCCCCCTTTCCTAGGAATGGGTGTTGTTTCCCAAAAGTGGAGTTTCTCCTGGCTGTTTCTTCAGCAGGACTGTCACCGGGGCAGGAGAGGGACACAGCCCCCAGTGAGGGGTGTGACGTGTCTTTGTCCCATAGAGCCCCTTCCCAGGCTTTTCCTTAGGGCTACCAAAACTTACTTTGCCCCGAAAAGGGATATCTTTGGGAAATTATTTGCTTGGGATCATAACAACCCTCTTTTTCCTCTCCAAACAGGAGCAGTATCATTTCTGCTACGACATAGCACTGGAATATCTGGAGTCCCTGGAGACCAGATAGCACCTCGCCAGAAGAGAGGCGGCAAGGGCTTGCGCAGGGGTCGTGCCAACCGTGAGTTTTGCACTTGGACGTTGCGTTAGCGCTGAAAGTGAGGAGGGAAACAGCAAAGGGCCCAACGAGAAAACCCATCAGATCAAGAAAAACGAAAGGACGTGGAGACATGTCAGCCGCTCCTCATCTTCATCCTCCGCTCTCCATATTTTCTTCCCACCCCAAGTGCGTCGGAGCGGCCGCGGGTTGGATGCCACGACTCGTCCTGTCCCTGCTCTGAGTCGCGGTGGTGGGGTCGGAGTGTGCAGGATGTGGCCCCTCAGCGCTGCCTGGGCATCAGTAAAGCAGCTGGAGAGGAGGCCAGGGAGGGGAGGAGGAGGACAGAAGGAGCCGAGGCTGTTTCCCAGCAGGGAAGGATGGATGTTTGGAGAAGAGATGTTGCTTTTTCAATTGTGCGTGGAATTGAAGCAGCTCTTCCGAGGAGCCCAGATGGCTGCTGGCAGGTTTTGCCCTTGGTGGGGACATGCTCTGAGCCAGAGCAAAGACCCTGAGAGGAGCTTTTGAGTTTTTGCCCGTTTGCATCATGAGTTTGATCTTCGCTTTTTTTAGTTCTGTGAGTTGCAACCTTTTGTGTATCCAGCCCTGGAAAGAACAGGGGCAAGGGAAGGGAGGTGGAGGGTCGGGGCTCATGCTGTGGCGCGGGGGACACTGGGCATGCGATGTCCCTCTGCAGGGACCAACCCAGACCCTTCCTGGCACCCTTGCAGAGCTTTTCAAGTGATGGTTCCCCTAGCTCTCCATACCATCTTCTCCATCTGTAGCAATTAATTCCTCATGGTCTGACCCAAAGGCCATGGGTCTGTTTTTAACCCGTTCCTTGTGAATCGCTGCACATGAGACACCTCCAGTGCCCAGAAACAAAGCCCTCAAAATTCAGGCCCATCCCATATGCCTCCTGGGTGCTGCCCCAGGCAGCTGCCCATCAGTGCTGCTTGGCTTTTACTGGGGTGGATGAAGCAGGACAGGGGTGTTTGGTGATGGCATTGGGGTGGGGTGGGCTGTGCTCGGGGCTGGGTGTGGGGAGGTCCCCACGACCCCAGTGCCCCCAGGTTCAAGCGTACGGGGCCGGTGATTGAAGGTACCTGATAGTTTTTGGCTTCATTCTGCTGCAGGTGGGTGTGAGATGTCACTTTTTCTGTCTGATAGTGTGATAATTACAGGGGTTTCTGCTTACAGCCTGGTTGTAATAAAGCTGTGGTGAGGGTTTTCTCTCCCTGCAAATGGCCTCAACAAGGTGCAACCAGAGGGATGCAGGTCTGGGCTCTGCCTCAGAGACTCAAGGAACTGAGGGGAGGTTGCTTCTGTCTTGAGGGCTGTGCAGAACCCTTCATGGTCATTTTTGGGGGGGATGAAGCAGAACAGTTGAGAAACTGTCTTCCATATGTTGAAGGTTGCACATGGACAACCCCATCCTTTATCCCCCTCCATGGTTCCCCATCAACCCAAGGCAGGGGAAGCTTCCCTGCCCTGCCTCCCAGAGGCGGGGGATCCCTCTCGCCAGGGAGCTTCTGTCAGATCCATACCACAGCTGGAAGCTTTGGAGAACACTGGCTAGACTGAACTGCAGCATGAAGGCTGCAGAGCCAAAACAGCTGCGCCCTGGATGAGCAAACCCAGGAGATACTTCCATCTGCCTTCCAAGGGTGGAGGAGAGCAACAAGATAAATCTATGCCCTCTCCCCACTTGGAGAATGTCCCACCTGCTGCCTTGCAAACACCCAGGGGTGGTGAGCAGGATTTCAGCACCATCGGGACGTTTTGCCCAGACATTTGGCTTTCCCGCCTGCTCACTGAACAATTCACACGGCCTGACAATAACTTATTCCAAGGGCTATACAACATTATTCCCCTTCTTTCCATCCCAGCTTTCTAACACTGTTCTGTGCCCATCGCTGTCTTGTGACCAAATAGCCTTTTTACCCCACCAGAGCCTGCAAAGTGGTCCAGTTACACCAGTACCTGGTAACACCCGTACTCGCATCGCGAGCTGTGACTTGGAATAAATTAATGTCCTTTACCCAGTCCCGTCTCTCTGTAGACGTGTCCGTGCTGTCCTAGGGTGCAGTGGGGAAGGCACCGTGTGGTGGGTGCAGAGTTTGTTTGGTTTTGTATGAAAATGGCTGAGCTGAGCCTCTGAAATTCCTGGGAATAGGCTGATGTTGGCACTGTTCAGCCCCGGAGCCTTGGGGGCTGGAGGGATGCTGCTGCTTCATCCCAGACCTTCCCAGAGCCTGGGCCACCTGCGTCCTCCCTCCGGTCCAGAGGGAAGGAGCATCCCACAGTCCTTCGCAGGTAAAGTGTTGCCAGAAAAAAGCAAAAAGGAAAATTGAAATCACATTTAGTCCTAAAGAGACAACAGAGACTGAAGGTGTTGTACATATGTTTTAAAAGTGAGATTTTTTTTTTTTTTTGATACCTCCTTGCTGGATGTCTCTGGGTTTTTAGGGCATCTCTTGTGAAGGGCAAACTTTGAAATCAAAGTGCTATAAAAACCAACCAATCTCCAACTCCTACTGAGATGTTCGTATGACATGAGGCAAGGACATCCTGTACATAGAAATATATATATAGAAATATATATATAAAAATATAAATACTGTTCTTAAGATGGATAATGTTTATTGGTATTACAGATTGGAGTGGTGCTTTTTTTTTTTTTAATAAAAATAAAATAACCAAAAAAAAAAAAATTAAAAAAAAATTAAAACCCAAGAAAACACCAAAGTGGAACGGTTTTGTCTATATGCAGAAAAAGTGACCCTGAAAGTTGGCAGCGTCCAGGAGCTGCTGCGGAAGGGACTGGTACCATGAGGCGGCTCCACTGCGGAGGAGGACGGTGCCATGGGACCGAGGGAGGGACATGTCTGATGTGGATTGTACCACGCACATCCAGCTGTTGTTAACCGTTTTTTTATTATTATTATTTTTGGCTTTCTTTCCTTTTAAGAAAATCAGTTGCATAAATAAATGTTCCAAATTTGAGATGGCCTCTGGCGTTCTTTCCCTGGCTCCGGTCGGGGAGCTGTGGTGTGGGGAGCCCTGATGCAGGTGCTCACCAAGCGGCTTCTAGAAAAGACCTGTCTTGCTTTTCAAGGGTATTTTGGGGGAGCGCATTTGCAGGGCCAAACTCCAGGCGTGCAAAACCTTCATGGCGCAGAAGAGCTGTGTTCACCCATCGCCGTGCAGAGGAGACAGGGTTGCCTTGTGCTCGCAGGGCTTTGCTGTGGGCTTTCTCCTGGTCACAGCAGGGTGAGGCCTTGGACCGGGCAAGACCTGCCAGCCAACCTGCGGGGTTGGATGTCCAGAACTTCATGCAGCACTTCTGATGGAAGTTTTCCATTTCTGGAAAAGGTGTTACGGAGGAAGAAGAAACCGTCAGAGCATTTCGCAGCTGGAAAATGAAATCCTATTGTAAGAAAACCCTTCAGGAGAAGAAAGCTCCTGCATTGTCTTCGGTGATTTATTTATTGCAAAGCAGCATTCAGTTAAATGTGTTGTGATATTAAACACTTCCAGTAACACTTGAGTCTTAATTTAATGGAGACCAAGGAAAAAAACATTCAAATTGACTTGTCAGGACTGTTTTTCATCTTTAATTAAGGTTCGTGAAGGATGCAGTAATTACATTTTACCAATAAATAATAAAAAGAGGGATAACGCAAATTAAAACCAAGAACTGCACTTGTGAAGGGCTCTGGGTGTGCGTGTCGCCCGTGGGCTGTGGGTCAGCCTTTGCCAGGGGTGTCCCTGGGGCTGAGCTCGTTGTCCCAAGCCCGGCAGTGCTGTGCTGCAGGGCAGGGTCACCCCGAGCAGTGGCTGTGCCCTGGGTGCCAGGGGCCACGAGCTGGGCCACCTCCAAGTGGGCTGTTCCCCGGTGTGGGGGGTTTGAGGCTGTTTGGGGACATTGTCCCCTGCCTGGGGAGGGGTCCACGCTGGAGCAGCTTCCCAGCAAAGCTGTAGCCCCCATGCCATCATCAGTGTCCCACTACTGCTTGTTCCTTCCCTGTCCCACTTGCTAGCCATGGTGGTGGCTGTGCAAAAACCAACCTTGAAAGCAAACCAAACTGGAAAACGTCTGATAAATGTGCATCTCTGAAGAATAAGAGAGAGAGAGGGAGCCTCCTGCAAGGTTATTGCTGTGCCGGCTTCGCTGGCTCCCCTGCAGCAAACAGCCTGGCCCCAGGGCACACAGCTGGGCTGGCCACTGCCTCGGTGGCTCAACCATCCAGAGCCACTTCTCATTTCTCCGGTGCCCGGTCACCCTCCTTGCAGTCCCCTCCCTGTTGGAGCTGGAGCCTCGCTCTTCCCAAGCTGTATTTCAGCCACAGCTCGTTGGGCACTCGCTGTCACTGGCTGCTAATGATGAAAAAACCCTTCCCCTGGTTTTATGAAAGCCATCATTCCATCGGCTGGGCTGTGATGAAGAGAGAAACAGCAGCTGCTCCCTGGGACCCTGCTCCCACCAGGGATGATGAATTGCCCCTTCTCTGCTATGCCCTATTAAGGTAAAAAAAGGAGCTGTTTCTGTGGGGACAAGGGTGGTGGTGATCAGGTTTGGTGGCTCTCTGAGGCCCCGGGAGCTTGGGGCAGTGGGTGGCACCTCTTTCCATCCTTGTTTTATCCCTGCAACATCTGGAAGAGGCATGGACAGCTCAGGAGAGCCCCAGGTCCCTGTCCCGTGCAGAAGTCCCATGGAGATGTCCTCCCTGTCCCCGCTCTGGCTCATCAGCATGTCCTGGTGAGTGATGCACTGGGGGGTGAGGGATGGGGTCGGGATGGAGCGAAATGCTCCTTTCCCCAGTCCACAGAGCCAAGAATGCGTTGGCATGGCTGCAGGTCTCCCCGCCGCTCTCTGCCAGGCATGGATGGATTAGAGCCGTTTAAAAGGAGCACTTTGCATTTCAATAACTAATCCAAATGTGCTGTCCAATGCCCAACTTTTGGCCCTTGGGAATTGCTCGCCAACTCAATGCCTCCTTTGTGCTGTTATCTGCAGCACACACGCCCTGGTAGAGCTAGTAATTTCCCTAAACCAATGTCATGGTATTGTTGGAGGTGACTTGGATATTCTTGTTCTGTTCACAGGCTCATTCCCTAATCCGGGCTGGCAGACGGTGCTGGATGTGCGGGGGGAGCCCGGCTCTGGCCCCCGGCTGGTGTTCAGCAGTAGCTGCAGAGGTGGCAGGCGGGGCCCCCTGTCCCCATCAACCCCTGTCCTCCCTCCCGGAGGGGCCAGTATTCCCAGTGGATGCTCAGCTCTGTCCTCGCCAGTGACCATTCTGCCCTGCTGGTGTTCCCTGTGCCGTATTCCTGGATATCACCCTGTTTCTCACAGCAGCTACATGGGATGGAGAAATGTGCTGTTCTTCCTGGGACAGGAGCAACCCACGTTTGCCTCCTTCCTCCTCTCTGGTGCAGCAAGTACCGGGGCGTGCAGGGAGGTTGTTCCTTGCACCAGCACCCCTGTCCTGGGGGCTGCTCGAGGTGGTGGCGGCACCACTGGTGGTGGGGGTTGCGGGAAAAATGAATTTAAGACATCCCCCGGGAGTCTTTGGCTCATGAGATCTGCAGGCAGAGCTCCTGGAGAGCACGTTGCCCCAAGCACATTTTTAGGACATGGGAAGTGTTGTCAGGCTGGTGCCCAGGTCTCGTCCACCCATCTCAGTGGGTGGGGTCAGCCAGTGCTCAAGGGACGTGACCAAGGTAGCCAAAGGAATTATGGGG